CAAAAACTTGAGGCTAGCATTGTGCATAGGTTAAACTGCTGCCCATGGCACATCACATACGAGCACCAGTTTGGGTTCCAGCTGCTCTACCTCCGATCTAGCTCTCTGCTAACGCTCCTGGGAAAGCAGCAGCAGATGGTCCAAGCACCGGAGCCACTGCTACTCATGCAGGAAAAACAAACGAACTCAGGCTCCTTGCTTCAGCCTGGCCCAGTCCCAGCAGGTGCAGTCCTCTGGAAAGGCAGCAGACTGAAGAGCGCTCTTTGTCTCTCCTCTGTAACTCTGCCTGCCTTTCAAATAAGTTAAACAAAAATTATTTATTTTTTATTAGAAAAGCAGATATATGTAGAAAAAGAGAGACAAAAAGATCCTGCATCTGGTGGTTCACACCCCCCAAATGGCTGCAACATACAAAACTGAGCTGATCCAAAGCCTGGAGCCAGGAGCTTCCTCCGAGTCACCCATGTGGGATACGGGTCCAATGCTTCATACCTTCTTCTACTGCTTTTCCAGCCACATTAGCAGAGAGCTAGACTGGAAGTGGAATAGGCAGAACACAAACCAGTGCCTGTATGAGATGCTTGTGCCAGAGCAGAGACTGGCCTGATGTGCCTCCACACCAGCCCTGAAATAAATAAATCATTAAAACAAACTGACTTGGAAACTACTGTTCCTCAAGACAGGGGAAAGTGAGGGCAACGCTAAGTCACAGATGGAAACTGATGAGAATGGCACATCATCAACAAAGGACTTCCATCTGCAATATGGAAGGAAACAGCTTCCAGGTGCTGAGTCACTCCTCAGACACCCACAGCAGCTGGGCTGGGGCAGACCAAGGCCAGGAGCCCAAAACTCCAGCTGGTTCTCCCATGTGGGTGGCAGTGATCCAAGCATTTGGGCTACCATGAGCTGCCCTCAGGTACATTAAAAGAAAGTGAGAAAGGAAGCAAGCAGGGGTGCCAGGAACCCAACGAGGCTCTGCAATATGGGACCTGGGCATCCACAAAGCAGCTCAATGCACTGTGCCACAACACTGGGCTCCTGGGTGAGTTTTGCTGGTGGGCTTTTTGTTTGTTTTTTTAACATCTTGAGGGCCCAGAGTGTTGGCTCAATTGGTTAATTCTCCACCTCCAAGCACTAGCATTGCATATGGGTGCTGGTTTGTATCCTGGTTGCTCTACCTTAACTTCCTGCTCCCTGCTTGTGGCCTGCAAAAGCTGTCGATGATGGCCCAAAGCCTTGGGACCCTGCACCCACAATGGCTCCTGGCTTCAGACAGTCCAGCTCCAGCTGTTATAGCTCTTTGGGGAATGAATCAGCAGAAAGAAAATCTTTGTCTCTCCTTCTCTCTGTAAATCTGATTTGTCTTTCCAAAAGAAATAAATAAATCTTTATTCCCATCCAGCTCCCTGCTTGAGGCCTGGGAAAGCAGCTGAGGACGGCCCAAAGCCTGGGGACCCTGCACCCACACTGGAAACTCAGAAGAAGCTCCTGGCTCCTAGCTTCAGTCTGGCTCAACACCAACTGTTGCAGCTACTTTGAGAGTGAACCAGCGGATGGAAGATCTGTCTGTCTCTCCCTCCTTCACTGGGTAAATATAACTTTCCAATAAAAATAAATAAATCTTTAAAAAAATGCACATTGATAAAAAAAAAAAAAAGATAGACAAAATCCATTGGTCCAATCGTCAAATGCTCACCACAGCCAAGACTGGGAACTCAATACAGGTCTCAGTCTCACCACGGGGGTGTCAGGGAACCAAAGCCTTGAGCCATTACCTGCTGCCCCCTAGCGTTTGCAATTACCAAGAAGTAGGGGGTGGGAGGGTGGGTGGAAATCCCAGCCTATACAAAATTGCACCACATAATTCAAAATAAAAATATATTTAAAAATAAATAAATAAAAAAAATTTTTAAAAAGAAGCTGCAATCAGAATCCAGGCACTGGGATGCAGCACCCACCACATCAAACACCGGCCCACCTTGGTGGCTTGTTCTTTTCAGCTGTTTGAGCTTTAGGGGCCAGCACTGCGGTATAGCAAGCTAAGCACCCCATATGGGCACCAGTTAAAGTCCTAGCTGCTCCACTTGCCATCCAATTTCCTGCTAATGTGCCTGGGAAAGCAGATGAAGATGGTCCGAGCACATGGGCCCATGATACTCATGTGAAAGACCCAGACACTCTGAGTTCCTGCATCCAACCATGCCAGCCTATAGTGGCCATTTGTGGGGTGAACTAGTGGATAGAGGATCTCTCTTCCTCTCTCTCTCCTTCCTCTCTCCCTGCAACTTAGCACTTCAAATAAATAAGAAAATATGTATTTTTTTTAAAGTGTATAAGCTTTATATTTATCATATTGTACAGGTCTGTTCTACATATCTTTTTGTACTTGGAAAAAAAATTTTTTTTAATTCTAATTTTAAGGCACAGCACGATGGCCCAGTGTCTAAATCCTTGCCATCCATGCTCCAGGATCCTATATTGGTGCTGCTTTACTTCCCATCCAGCTCCCTGCTTGTGACCTGGGAAAGTAGTTGAGGACGGCACAAAGCCTAGGGACCCTCTACCTGTGTGGGAAACGCGGAGGAAGCTCCTGGCTCCTGGCTTCAGACTGGCTCAGCTCCGGCCATTGTGGCCACTTGAGTAAACCAGCAGATGGAAGATCTTTGTCCCCCCATTCTGTAAATCTGCCTTTGAGACAAAAATAAATAAATCTTTTTTAAAAATTCAATTTTGAAAAAGAGATAATCCGGGAGCATCTCACCCTGAGAGAACACAGCTAAAGGAGCTCACAAGGGGCCCAGTCCTGCAGCGCAGCACATGAGGCTGTATTGGCGACACTAATGTCTCATTATTTGAGCACTGGTTTGAGACGCAGGACTCCACTCCCAAACTACTTTTCTGCCAAGACACCTAGGAAAGCAGCAGATGGCTCAGGCATTCGGACCCTGGCCATCTATAGGGCAGAGAGGGAGGTCCTGCCTGCTGGCGTTGGCCTGGCCCGCCCAGCTCAGCTGTTTCAGGCATCTGTGGAGTGAAGATCTCTCTCGGCTCTGCCTTTCTAGTACATAAATAATCCTAGAGAGAAATGCAATGTAACAGTCAGAGATAATTTATTCTATTTACAGATAGTTTTTTCCCCTTTAAAGATTAATTTTTTATATTATTATTATTTGAAAGGCCGTTATAGAGAGGGAAGGAGACGAGAGAGAGAGATCTACCATCTCCCCAAATGGCCACAACAACCAGAACTAGGCTGGTCCAAAGCCAGAAGCCAAGAACTTTGTCCAAGTCTCCTGCATAGGTGCAGGGCCCCAAGCACTTGGGACAACTGCTGCTGCTTTTCCGGGCATATCAGCAGTGAGTTGGATCAGAAGCGAAGCTGCTAGGACTTAAACCAGTGCCCATATAGGATATTGGCACTGCAGGCAGATGGCTAACCTACACACCATCGCGCTAAACCCCCCAGCTTCCCCCACCAACTTTTTTTTTCAGACTTAGTTTTATTGGAAAGTCAGATACACAGAGAGGAGGAGAGACAGAGAGGAATATCTTCCATCTGACGATTCACTCCCCAAGTGACTGCAACGGCCAGTGCTGCACCTATCCAAAGCCAGGAGCCAGGAACTTCCTCTAGGTCTCCCACACGGGTGCAGGGTCCCAAGGCTTTGGGCCATCCTCCACTGCTTTCCCAGGCCACAAGCAGGGAGCTGGATGGGAAGTGGGGCTGCCAGGATTAGAACTGGCACCCATATGGGATCTCTTGGTACGTTCAAGGCGAGGACTTCAGCTGCTAGGCCATCGTGCCAGGCCCCCTAGCTCCCCCTTTTTAAATATTATTGTTGGAAACTAGAGTTAACAGAGAGAGAGAGACCTTCCATTTACTAATCTAGTTTCTCAAATGGTTGCAAAAGGCTGTACCAGAGTAACTTCTCCCAAGTCTCCTTGAGACCCGATTTTTTTGTTTGTTATTTGTGTTTTCTTTTAAAGATTTATTTATTTGAAAGTCAGAGTTACGGGGGTAAGAAGGTAAACACACAGCTCTTCCATTCGCTGCTTCACTTCTTAATGGCTACAATGCTGGGGCTGGCCAGGCTAAAGCCAGAGCTTTTTCCGGGTCTCCCACATGGGTGCAGGGGCCCACGCACTCTGGCCAAATTCTGCCGCTTTCCTAGGTGCGTCAGCAGGGAGCTGGACCAGAAGTGGCGGCTGGCGCTTGAACTGGAGCCCACATGGGATGCCAGCTCTGCAGGTGGCAAGTTAACTAGTCACACCACAATACAGGCTCACAGATACACAATTTCTGAACCAAAGAGAAGAGACAACAAGAGGTTTATAGCACAGTGCTACTTAAGAGCTTTGTAACAAACACACCAATTTCCAGCCAAGGAGGCAGCAGCGCTGCTAATGCCCCGAGATTTGGATGGAGTTCCTGGCTCCCTGCGCTTCCGCGGGGGACAGCCCTGGCTACCGCCGAGATGTAGGAAGTGAACCAACAGATGGGAGCTGTCAGTTTCTCTCTGCCTCTCAAAACAAAGAACAACCCATAGGGAGCAATGCTGTGTGCTTTCCAAGAACACACAGGAATACAAATAAACCCAGAGACACTGAACAGGAAGCTAAATGACATCACAGTAGGCAGCTCATTGGCTAGGCAGAGGGGTTTGCAAGCCGCTTTGGAAAAGCACACGTGCATGCTGTGGGTATGGGAGGCAGCACAGATGTGGTGTCAATGACTTAAGCCTGCTCCTGGGTAACTCCAAGCCCTGGGCTGTTCCACAGAACCACACGGAACCAGAGGCCTAGGCTGTGGTCTGCCAAGCCCTGGAAAAGCAGAAGAGGTTAGGAAAGAGAGCAAAGGGTGAAGATGATGATGCGGGGAGCAGTGACGCAGGGAGCCCTGCGGTCCCAGGGAGGTCGCCCCTCTGGGACCAAGAGGCGAGCAAGGAGAGAAAGGAAGAAATGGGTACCTTTTGGTGGTTCTCATCTTCTGCACTTACCTCCTTGCTGTCTGTCACAGGAACCCACTTAAATATCCTAAGGGATGTGTCACCCACCGTCACCCACTTTTTCTCCCTAAAAGAAAGACACTTCTCAGAAGTAATCAAGCAATGCAGTACATTTTGCTGTGCGTTCACTTGCGTTGTTCTCGTCTTAGCAAATCACTCCTTTCAGCTGCAATGCCTTTAAAGCCCCTCTGCAGTCTGTGGCACCTTACCTTGTGCAAGCCTGGCCCTGTCCCTGCCACCTCTCCTAGCACACCTGTCCCAAAGCCTCTGTCACAGAGATGATGCCCCCACATCTCTAGACCCAGCATCAACCTTATTCTCCAAAAATGAAACCTACCCCACTGCTGTGCACCAAGGTCCTGCAGAAAACACAGGCTGTTGAAGGTGTGGTCCCTACTTTCCTACCATGGGAGTGCCCAGCGACGGCAAGGCTAGGGGGTGGATGCCACCTTACAACATGATGGTGGCCAGGATGTGAAGAAGGCCGTGGGGCAAGGTCAGAGGAGGCTCTGCTGAGGAGAGCCCTCTGGGTGAACCATGACTCCATTTAGAAACAGACAGCAGGGACTGGCAAATGCTAAGCCGCCACCTGCTCTGGTTCAAATCCCAACCACTCTGCTCTGATCCAGCTTCCTACTGATGTGCCTGAGAAGGTGACAGATGCTGACCCAAGTGCTTGGAGCCCTGCTACCCATGAGGGGTGCCTGGATGGAGCTCTGTGCTCCTGGCTTCGGTCTGCACCCCCAGCCCCAGCTGTTGTGCCATTTCAAGAGTGAACCAACAGATAGAAGACTGATTTCTCTTTCAATCTGTCACTCTGCCTTTGAAATAAACAAAATCTTAATATTCAAAATATTAACATTCAAAATATTAATGCCAGAAGCAAGCAATCTCTCACCCTGGCTCTTAAAGGAGCCATGGCAAGACCATATGTGGGGTGTTATTATACAAAGGGGTTAAACACCATATAAAAAAAAGAAAGAAAAAGGCCTCCACTTCCCCTACGCTCAACACATGCCTGGGGAAAGTACAGGAACATTCCAGAATATGGGAGTAGATTATGGACAATCAGATGATGTGGATGGGGCCTGAAGCTGTGTTTGGGGAACAGCAAGCAACCAAGTGGTGGGAGATGGCTGTGCCTGAATCCTGCCTCTTCCTTACTGGGTATTGTCTTTCTTCTTGTCAAAGGTGGAAGACTTAGCTGCAGCCCTCCCTGAAGCATGCGGGAGATCACAGCTAACTGCATCACAGTCCCCAAACTCACAGACTCCATCACCAAGCAAGGCCCCCAGGCAGGTGGGAGCCTGCACCCCATATCTGAGCACCGAGCTCCACTCCCGGCTCAGGCTCCTCCTCATCCCAGTTTTCTGCCTACAGCATCACAGGCTCAGGCACCTGGGCACCTGCCCCCTCCTCAGCTTCTGCCAGGCCCAGGCCTGGCCATTGTGGCCACTTGGGGGAGTGAACCAGGAGGCAGGATTTCACTCTCTCTGATCAGTTTTAAAGTTAGAAAAAAGCAGTTCTCAGAGCAGAAGTCCTAGGCTTTCTGCAGCCAGCGCCCTGTCTGCTCACAGTTGCTTTCTCCCCAGATTCCTTACTCAATGGTCTAACGTGTTTGCCCATCACGGTGTTCTTGTCCCGGCAGCTCATTTATCGAATCACAACTTCAGAAAAGGCAACAAAATGATTTAGCACACCTTCAAAATCCCTATTACTCTGTTACTACTAAAAATACAAACAGAAATCAAACTGACAGAGCAGATTTTCGAATAAAATAAATAAAAAGTGGGTTCTAATTATTTTAACAGTGACTTCTCAACTCCTTCTGGTCCTGGTCTGACTGCCGTATAAACCACAGGAGACACACACCCCACTAGGGAAAGAGTGGTAGGTGTGGAAATGGCAGTAATCCTTCTCCTGGGGCGGGCAGGGTGGCCTAATAGGTTAATCCTTCCTTGCATGCACTGACATCCCATACAGGTGCCTGTTTGAGTCCCAGGGGCTCCACTTCCCATCCAGCTCCCTGCTTGTGGCCTGAGTAAGCAGTAGAGAACGGCTCAAGTCCTTGGACCCTACACCCACGCTGGGAGACCAGGGGGTCACCCCTGGCTTGGGACCGGCCCAGCTCTTGCCCTATTAGCCATTTGGGGAGTGAACCAACAGATGGAAAATCTGACTCCTCTCTGTAATACAAATCCTTAAAAAGAAAAATCCCTTCCTGTCTGGCCCTGTCAAGACTGCCCAAAGAAGAAATTATCTAGAAGCCATTTTCAAACGTCAGCCTTCAAGCCCAAAGCCTGGGAGAAATTCTTCCCAAAGGGCAGATGGCAGGTCTCCTCGGAATTCCACGGAGGCTCCACTGCATCTCCTAGACCCAACAGAATGAAAACAAGCAGAAGGCTCAGCACACACCCGAAGGTCTGCCAGCCAACGCGTGCGGAGACACAACCAAGCCTGCTTATGCTAAGAGGTGAAGCCAGGACCCTACCTATGTCAGACCTGAACCGACTTCTCAAGAGTTTCAATACCAACCCGCAGTTAGGAGAAAAAAAAAATCAGGTCACTACTGTCGCTTTTTGCTATTAAGCAAATAACGCCATGGCAAACGTAGAGACGGTAACAGAAAACAGCTTAGAGAAACTGGACGAGGACTAGCAGGTAAAGGCTTGACAGACGTGACAGACCCCAAAACAGGAGCTCCTCCTGCGTCTTCAGGGTAAGGATTCTAACCAACTGCCCCTCCACCACCCTCGCTGGTTCCCCGATGACCATGCTCCCTCCCGCGGCAGGTGCATCAACCAGAGAGAAACTCGGGGACCCAACTTCCACTAAGGACGTGGAGCACTCGGCCGTCGGCCGAGCCACAGGCTGGCTGTGCCCACGGGGCAGTTCAGAGACTCAGGACCGACCCTCGATAGGATGCAGGCCTCGCAGGCCGAGCGCGGGCCGGAAGCCGGAAGTTCTCCCTGCTGCTCGGGGTGCAGTTCGCGACCCAAGAGGGTGCGTGAGTGTGGGCGGGGCGGGCAGGCCAGCGAGCCGGGCGGCCGCTGATTGGGTGCGGCCGGCGCACCCTCCGACCTCACGCCGACGCCAGTGAGCCAGCCTTCCGCCCTCTCCGGTTCCCCTTCCCCCCTCGGGTCTCTGGGCGCCGGTGGCTCCCACCCCAACCCGCCACTCGGGGCGTTCCACGGGGGGTCTGGACCCTCGACGCGCAGGCGCACGCCGACACCCCTCCTTGGCTCACTCCCTCACCATTTCCGCACTTTCTCGATGGCGGCCATCACCTTCTTGATATCGTCCTTGGCCCGGCTGCGGGTTTCGGCCCGGACCGACCGGCCCGACATGGCGGCGGCGGCGGCGGCAGCGGCGGCGGCGGCGGGAGTGACAAGGGGTCAGGGGATGCGGGGGGCGGGGGGGAGGCAGTGCTACCCAAGACGCGGGGAATCACGCGCTTCACGCGCCGCCGCCGCCGCTGCCTCAGCAGCGTCGCCGCGGCCCTCGCCCCCTCCCTCCGTGCGCGCGTGCGCCAGGGAGCGCGCGCACCCGCCCGCCCCTTGGGGCCCGAGCCCTCAGCGCGCCTGCGCGCCCCGCCCCGGGGCGTCCCTCCTGTACCCCCTGGGAGTTCCCCTGCACCCACCCCAGGGACCTCCGTGCGGGGTTCTGGGTGTGCGGTGGGTCGCACGTGCTGCAGCCAGGGCGAGGTGCGAGGCACTTGCCCATGGAGACGGGCCAGGGGTATGCGGGGCCGAGGGAGGATTGGGTTCAGAGATCAGCACCCTCATGCCACGTCCAGGGGTGACTGCCATAACATAAGTTGTATGAACTTGACTTTGATAGGACCAAAGTTCCACACCCATCTGTCCTGCCTCTCAAACTCTCAACCTTCCCAAGATTACTTTGACTGTGCTCCCAACTTCAAGGAATTTCACACTTTTCTTCAGCCAATCAACTGTTGCCCCAAACTTTCTTCACCTGATGAACTATTTCGCTTCCAATGGCCAGTTCAAACTCGTCTTCAAGATATCCTAACCTCCCGGTATTCCTGTGAAGCCATCATTAGAAATGCACGCCTCGTTGATGAGGGGCTCTGTACCAAGTGTTGAAGATGTGTTGGTTTTTTTCTTTTAAGATTCAATTATTTTTATTGCAAAGTCAGATATATTGAGAGGAGGAGAGACAGAGAAGATCTTCCATCCAGTGATTCACTCCCCAAGTGACTGCAATGGGCCAGAGCTGTGCCAATCCAAAGCCAGGAGCCAGGAACTTCCTCCAGGTCTCCCACGCAGGTGCAGGGTCCCAAGGCTTTTGGCCATCCTCCACTGCTTTCCTAGACCACAAGCAGGAAGCTGGATGGGAAGTGGAGCTGCCAGGACTAGAACCGGCATCCATATGGGATCCCAGCGTGTTCAAGGCAAGGACTTTAGTCACTAGGCCAACACGCCGGGTCTGATGTGTTGGGTTTTTAAAAGGATGTATTCATATGGAAGGCCAAAAGAGATTTTCCATCCACTGTTTCTCTCCTTCCCCTCTCCCCACAGTTCCTGTAACTGCCAGGGTCTGGGCCAAGCCAAAGCCGAGACTGTGAACTCCATCCAGGTCTTCCCCCATGGCTGCCACAGCTTGTGCAGCTCCAGGAAATGGGGTCATAAGTGATGTTAGCCCTCTTTGAATTTGGCATTCTGACAGGCAGTCTTCAAATTGCTTAATCCACTGGCCCAGAACACCTGCGCTAGGGGTGTTTCCGGTTCAGTAGAACATGCAGCCCAGGAAATGGGTATTTAAAAATGCCAGGCAGGGTGATCTGGATTACAAGGTAATCTAGAGTGACCTTGAAGCTGCTCTCACAGGCCTAACAGACACAGAGGCTGTCAATGCCAAGTGCGGGCGTGGTGCCTCTCCAGTGCACGTGGCTCCCTTGCTCTTTGCCCGACACCCGCCTGCTTGCAAGCAGGTGTTTGCAGATGACTGCAGGGTAGGGAGGGTTCTGGCGACGCAGGAAGTGGGTTGCTGGCAGCTGTTTTTCTCACCTCTAGGGGAAATGGCTGCATGCCCCCCAAGAAATGCCTAGGCAGCTAGGGACGCCACGTGGCCTGTGTCTGTTGGCCATTCACAATGTGCTGATTCCAATGATACCCACGGTGGTGATGAGTCAACCCCACACAGTCTCCCCAGTGCCCCCATCTAAGACTGCCTGTGTACACATAGTTTCTCTATTTTGCTCCAGAAAATGTCACCACTAGGGTACTTTTTATTTTTTCAAAGTTTTATTTCTGTTTGGAAGACAGCACCAGAGACAAGAGTGCTGTTCCACTTGATGGTTCACTCCCCAAAGTCCCACGACAGCCAGGTCTGGGCCAGGAGGTCAAGAGGTTAGAATTAGGTCTCCCTGTGGCTGGCAGAGACCCAAGTAACGAGGGCCTTCTCCCAGTGCTTCCCAGGCACCTTAGTGGGGAGATGGATGGAGGAGTGCAGGATAGCTGGGACTGGAACCCAGCACTCAAGATATTGCTGTGCCAGACACCTGACCCTTGTTTAAAACAGATCTGTTTATATTTATTTAGCCCAATTTGGCAGCCAGTTTTGGGAGCTGCACTCACACAAAAAAAGCTGCTTCAGGAGTCCCAATTCTGTTTCACCAAGTATTCCTACTTACACCTCTCCCTCTTTTTTTTCCTTTTGGAAAGGAAAAGCAGATTTACCAAGAGACGGAAAAATCTTACATCTGCTGGTTCACTCCACAAGTGGCCACAACAGCCAGAGCTAAGACAATCCAAAGCCAGGAGCCAGGAACCTTTTCTGGGTCTCCCATGCAGGTTGAGGGTCCCAAGGCCTCCAGTGCTTTTCCAGGCCACAAGCAGGGAGCTGGAAGTGGAGCAGCCGGTTCACAATCAGTGTCTGTCTCAGATGCTGGCGTTTACAGGCAAAGGATTATCCAGTTTGAGCCATCGTACCAGCCTGTTTTCAATTTTTGATTCCCGATTACATACTATCTTCCCCAGAGAAGTAGTGGATGCCCATTGCCCACATCAGAGCACTGCTCCAATTCTGGCTCCTGACTCAATCCGGGAGGCAGCAGGAATGGCTCAAGTCCTTGGGCTCCTGCCACCCACGTAGGAGACCTGCATTGTGCTCCTGGCCCCTGACTCCTGCCCAGTCCCAGCCGCAGGTGTTGCAGGCACATGGGGAGTGAACCAACAAGTTGGGAGCTATTTATGTACAAAAGGAAAACAAACCTAAAACTGATTTCTCCAACTTTTGAGAAACTGTAAACCCACACCAGTTGAAATAGTATTCTAACAGGATGAATGCTACTTCCCCTCTCAAGCACTTTCATCAACAAAAACAGAACAAGGGCCTGGTGGAATGATGGCCTAGTGACTAAAGTCCTTGCCTTAAATACGCCGGGATCCCATATGCGTGCCGGTTCTAATCCCTGCAGCTCCACTTCCCATCCAACTCCCTGCTTGTGGCCTGGGAAAGCAGTCAAGGACAGCCCAAAGCCTTGGGACCCTGCACCTGCGTGGGAGACCTGGAGGAAGTTCCTGGCTCCTGGCTTTGGATTGGCACAGCTCTGGCCCATTGCAGTCACTTGGGGAGTGAATCACTGGATGGAAGATCTTCTCTGTCTCTCCTCCTCTCAATATATCTGACTTTGCAATAAAAATAAATCTTTAAACCAAAACAAAACAAAACCCCTGCAGCATTCACACTTTCTCCCCATCCCCAACAGCAGCCTCCCATTCCCCAACGACGTCTGTCCAGCAACTCTTCTGTCGTATCTTTGTCCATCTCTTCAGAAACACACGAGGCAAAGCAAGGTAGGAAGGACAGGATTTATTCCCATTTTACAAACAAGTTCAGAGCTCAATCAGTGACACCCCCCCCCAACCAAAACCGGAGCTAAAGACTGCGGACTTCAGTGACTTGACATTTCATGGCCACGACCCCTCCCAGGTGCATCATGGGGCCAGCCATGGCCAGAGGTGCTGCTCAGAACACAGGAACCGCAGAGTTGAAACCTGGGGCTCTTGACAAGGCATGACACTGTCCACGGGCCCCATGGATCTCTCAGGTGTGTGTTACTGGGAACCTAAGACCACAGCAGTCCACTGGCCCTGATTTGAGTTCAACACGGATGGAGTGCTTACTATGTCCCAGGTACCCAGAACCAAGGAGACAACCAAGGAGACAACCAAGGAGACAGGGTCCTGCCCTGGAAGGCACATCCCAGAAGGGTCCACACCAACCAAGAAGTTACACCCAGCCTGCCCACTCTGGTACTGTGCCTATACCACGTCATGCTTGATTCTTGGACTAACTTCTACCTTCTAGAAACAAACAACCGCTGTTGGATTATTCAATGAATAGTCATCCCCACAGCCCCTTCCTTCTGCTCGCCCCCTCCAGCCCATGCAGACCCTAACTATTATACGCACATGTCTTACATGCAAATGGGTGGACTCTACCGCACATGAAGGCTACCTTCTTGACAAAGGCCATTCAAGTTGAAACCCCCGAAAGCCCTCAAATACCCAAATATTGGCTCATCACAGGGTGCACCCACTGAATATGCCAAATATAGAAAACACCTGGATGCAAGAGCACTCATGTGATTGGTGAAAAGGGCTACTTCAGATGGAATGGTCAGGAGAGCCGAGTCCCCAGGAGCCAGATGAGCTGGCAAGTACGGAGGAGGAGCTGCTGGCAGGTACAGGCACCTGGCTGGCAGGAGGACGGATGGAGAGATGTTTCCTTTTTCAAGAACACCAAGGTTGGGGTCCACTGGCAGAGTGGCTAAAAGAAAAAAAAAAAAAAAAAAAAAAAAAAAAGCACAGGAGGAGGAAAGAGGCCAAACTGTATGAAAGCAGAAACCCGTGAAAGTCCTGGCTTTTTGATCCCAAGGGTGGTAGGAGCTTTTCAAGGGGTTGTCATTTGGGAAATCAGGTGATGTGGCTTCTATTTTCCAAAGATGACCGAGCTGTTTAGGAAAAGGCCTTCCTTAAGCACCAAAAAGGGACAGAGAACCCAGTTGTGGAGGAGACGGCTGTGCTGACAGGGCCGGGGGGTAACAGTGGCTAGGACCAGGAGGGAAACAAGATGAGAGGGAAGCAGCTGACTCCGGGCACACCCTGCAGCACAGCCACAGCAGTTTCCTGGCAAGGGGACGCAGGGTGGAACAATGAGAGCTCCAAGGCTATAGCACCGGCACACATGCACAGCGCTGGGGACCAGCAGAGACAGCTCCTGGCTTTGGGGGACACATGAGGGTTTCTCTGGATAAATCAACATAGGCCTTGACGCGGGGCTGCCGGGCCTCCTATGCTCCCAGGCGGCCCTCAAACCTACAATTCCAACACCAAAACAGTGCCTTCAACTTCCACTACAAAACCCATTGTGACGGCAGCTCCGTGTTCCTCTTGGTAACTTGACACTGTGTGACCACGTCCCCTCCCAGGTGCACAATGGGGC